CCTGCCTGTGTAATACACAATGTCAGAAGGAAGTGCCATTTAAAGGTGGCTCCATGAACCTAGCAATAAGGTCATTATACTCGAATGGCCTCCACATCATATTACAAATGTGTGATGCCTCTGCAAAGGGGGACTCACAAAATATTACAAATGCTTACCAAATAAACTTGAATGTATATTTATAAATTGTAGATAAAGGCATTACATACTTTCCTATTTCATGTAGCTGGAAAATAACTTATATTAAGGACTTTTACAACAGCACTGTATCAGAAATCCTTCTTAAATTCTTACCATTTATAGCTATATAAGAATAAAGAATAAGTTCTTATTTCCTCAATTTTAGATGTAGGGATTTATGTTATTGCAAAAGTTGGACATTACACAAGTTTATCGCAGGAGTTAATAAAATGCTTTATTGCATTTGTTAAATAATTACCTGGTAAAATCAATTATTTTATACAAAACTAGGAAACTGAGATAAAATGCAGGTGCACACTAATCCACAAGACTTTCAGTCCCTGCAAATTAAATGTGAACCCCTTCATTACTGTGGCCAATCAGTGGACAAATTATATTGTTTAAAGGGGAGTTTCCACTTTCTAGGATTTCATAAATTATGTTTACTTATCCCCATAGTTAACTAAATGTATTTGTGTAATGAAGAAATCGCCACCTCTTTATTTTACACCTGCTGGATGCAGCGATTATTGTGCAGTAGTGATACTTTAACATATGAAGCTTACATTGGCTAGTGCCAATAAGGGGCACTGTTAAAGGGAAATCTACCTTTTGCAAGCCAGTTTTGTTAACGGGAAGTCATTGATTCAATCAGCGGTGGCCATGCCCGGCAGCACTCCGCAATCCTGATAGTGAAATTTCAGAAGCCAGATGTCGCTTGGGGGGAGTGGAGACTGGCACTGGAGGAAACATTTGGGTTAAACCGTTTAAGAACAGTTTAACCCCTGAAGGTGAGAGTGCACCCGGGGAACTCCTTTAAGTAAAGTTGTTATGGTGCCATAAGCAGCCTAAACTGTAGAGTAGAAGATTTACTGTGTGCTGGCAAGATCTGTAATTACATGGTTTAGTCGTAGGCATAATGTAAACTTCTACTGTGCTAGTTAACTAGTGCATGCCAAAATCTGAAGATTTTAGAGTGGGCAAAGGATTTATAAAATAAATTATCAGTTCAGGGGTAATTTCTACTAGTTAACTAGTGCATGCCAAAATCTGAAGATTTTAGAGTGGGCAAAGGATTTAAAGAATAGATTATCAGTGGAATTTACACAATTTATATGAATTTAAATATTGGCATGAATAGAAATACAGTTGAACCATGCAGTTTGGCTTAATATTAATAAACAGAAACAAAAAAAGCTTACAGTTTATGTGAAAAAAATATTTATATATTTAGAACCATTACACAAACACTTCAAGCACTGCGTGCTGTACTGGTTATGATGACAGGCTCCCCTCCCTATAGTAAATAGTCAATCCATTCTAAAATTTTACTTGAGGTCTGTCTAGGTCCACTTTCTGCTAGCTGCCTCCTCATCTGAGGACAGAGAGCTGGAAGCTCCTAAGCAAGAGCTCTTGTTTGATCTACTGAGCTAAACCCTCAGTTGTCAGCTGATTTCTCTGAGCCAATGACCAAGCCCTGTACTAGAAGGCTTAGCTCAAACCGAGAACTAATGGCTCTCTGTCAGAAGTAGTGACAGAGAGAAATGCCCAGTTAAGAAGTCAAATTGTTATTGTTTGACTACTTGCATGGCAGTTTTGCCACCTTACAGTGGCAACTACAGTGAGCTGACAGTGCAAGTATTTAGATTTTTTGGGCTTCTGTTTTTTAATATATGCATACAGTTGAAATCAAAATGATTTAAACCCCACTAAAAGTCAGGTTTGCAGACTTTCAGCTGTTTGCAGTGAACTAATTAAACAAATGCAATTGAAAGTTCCCCAAATTCAACTTAAAATGAAACTTATAATGATTTCTCCAGTCTCAAAATTATTCATCCCCCTAAATAGAATCCCTCCCAACAGCACATATATGCAAAACAGGTGTTGTCTCAAGCATACAAAACAGGTGTTGTATCAAGAGCTTCATTAGTTGCACCAGGTGTGCTTGAGCTGGAACATGTGAAATAACTGAAGTTGCTAGAGATTTGTTGAGTGTCACGTTTGGCTACATGTTAGAAATATGACCAAGTCAAAAGAATGGTCCACAAAGTTAAGAAAATAGATCATCGCTGTGATCGATGGTCTGATCCCCCCCATTTGTTTTGCACAAACCGCAAGGTTGCATGGCCATTTTGGTGCTACCTCATGGTGTTTTGTCAGGCTAAGAGAATGCATGCTATGAGATACTGTTTGCAATGTATTTTGTAGGTTAATTAAGTTAAATTCTGTTCTGTAAGTGGCCACCTGATGTGGGAGCCTAACTGCAAGGGGTTGTGGGGTCCAGTATGAAGACCATGGTCTCACTGCAGCTAGAGCAGTGGCAGAACTACTGCGGTCGGAGTGCCAGCCATGTGTTGCAGCCCCGGCCTGCGCGGTATAACCGCCGGGCCCCACCTGCACGGTATAACTTCCTGGGCCACACATTAAGTTACAGGCAGACAGTAACACACAAACAGTTACAGGCAGACAGTCACACATGCACTTACAGGCAGCCAGTCACACACGCAATCTCTTACTTACAATCAGCTTGGGCTGGAGGAGGAGTGCATTCAGTCCCTCGATGTGCAGCAGTAATAGCAGCTGGTGGAGACTGTGCTTAGCTCCACCCCCACTTCTGATTTGGCTTTGCCCCACTCAGCCTCCAATTGTCTTACTTACGTCACTTTTGAAGTTTGTGGCTGCCTGTCCCTGCATGTGTGACACAGCCTAATGCTGCCCTGGTCATGGCACCCCCCTAGTGAGTGGCACCCAGGGTGGAGCCTCCCCCTTCTCCCCATTAGTACGCCACTGGTTATACTACTTGGATTAGGCAGAAAAAGGAAGCTATTAATGGCTGCAACCAGATTTCTGAGAAGGCAGGTTGTGAGAAATGCTCAAGTGACTGCAAAAGACCTGCAGCAATACTTGGTGGCAACAGGCACTAAGGTTTCAGCGAGCACAGTAAAACGCAGAAGGTTTCCATGCGGGAACTCCAAAATATACGCCACTACTGACCCAAAAGCACAAAAAAAGTCAGTTCCATTATGCTCAAAATCATGTAAATAAACCTCAGAGGTTTTGAGATTCTGTTATGTGAAGTTGTAGTAGATAATTTACTGCAAACCAATTAGTTTGAATGACTATCTGTTCCTGTCCAAATTAAAGATAATAAAGTTGCATGCACGCAGAAGTAAATTCACACTGAGACACAGAGTTCAGGTTAATGAAAAAACTTCGGAGAAGTTTAATGGCTTCTGACAGAAAATGGGTGCGCAGACCCTTTTAAAGGCATTATTACATCACTGAAGAATTCAAGATAACAGCAAATAGACACTATTGATTGGTCCAGGTGTTAAGTGGTTAGTTAGGTACCCTCCTATCAAGAGGTGATGTCATCCTTGACACGGGAGTGGACACAAGATGTAGGCGCCATCTTGTTAGCACGAGGTGTTCACTCGATGGGAGGGGTGCTTTGGCAGCCATCCATTTAGAGTGTAGCTGGCACGGTTAGTTTCTCAAGGTTAGGTTTCAAGGCTTTTAGTAAATACACATTTTATCAAAGCTATTTCTTGCTGGCATGCAAATTCTATGTTCTATAGACAGAGCTTTCTTGTAAAACTATGGGGGCCTCTTAGAGGTATAGCAAGAGGATTTAAAGGGGCCTTACAGATTTATAGAGGCCTAATAATTCTACAACAGTCCCCCCTAAAATGTTATTTGCTAAAAGACAAAACTTTATTTGTTAGTATCAGAAGATGTGTTAGCCCAAAGACACAGAAACCCCATGACCGCTGACTTAGTGTTAATGCAAAGTGCAAGTCTATCCCTCTCTTGACCCTAACAGGCTGCAGCACATCCGTCAGTACGGTTCAGGAACACTCTTCACTCCGCTGGTAACCCATAGTGGCTTATCCACTACTTCTCCGTACGGCAGTCTACCCATAAAGACGGACGCTGTCCCTGTACTGTCCCTTCCTAGACTTTCTGCACTTCATCAGTATACGGGAGAGTTTGTAGCGGAATACAGGGTGAGATGAGATCTTGATCATCGATTGTCAGATGAGTGAAGGTTGGTGTTGCTTGGTCTACAGTTTTCTGCAGGAATTTCCTTAGGCATGGGAGGACACAACAAATGAGAAGAGCGAGAATAAAAAGAAAAATTAGTAAGGCAATACCAATCTGGACTAAAGCTCTCTGCCAACCAGTCATCCAACCAAACCATTTTTCCCAGGGATCAGTAACTCCAGAGTTTCTCTTTAACTCTTCTGAGAGTCTATTTAATTTAGCTATGGCTAGAGTGACTTTACTATTAGGACCTGTGTTTTCTGGAATGTAAGTGCAACAAGTCATAGTGTCGGGAAGTATTTTACAGACCCCCCTTTTTTCGGCTAAGATCATGTCTAAGGCCAGTCTGTTCTGGAAGGTCATTTGGGATGTGGCCTGTAATTGCTCGGCCAAGCCCTGGAGGGCATCCCTGGTGTAGTTCACGAAGCGCTGTTGGTTGTAATAAATGTAGTTAATCCAATTAAGGTTTTTGTTGGCAGTGACTATAGTGAACAGTGATTCAAAACCTGCAGCTACTTCATCTCTAGCTTTAAATTCATTAGGTACCCCCCTAGGCACCCCAATGGCATCTATGTAAATGTGGGGGTCAAAACTGCCTTTTACTGGGGTTTCGCGCCTCACTCTGGCTGGGGTATGTGGAGGGTCGTATGTGTCATGATGATTATCAGAAATAATATGAATGGGCATGATAACTTTGGCTAGGGTACACTCACCCCACCACTCAGTTTCCAGCCTAGATCTTAACTGTAGATCCCCACATAACCAGTAAACATCCCCCAATGACCTGGTATGGTGTTGCAACAAGCGTATAGGAACAGTTCTGTAAGTGGCGCAATAACCTTTAGAAAAACCATGAATTTACCAATCCCGTCAAACAAGTGTAATTACCTCTATAGACTGTGATTCCATCTGGTGGCTTAACATTTTCAACTAAGAGAGGGTACTCTGCCGTCCATGCCATGCAGAGGGACCTATTAAAGTCATATTGGTAGGCAAAAAGGCTTAAGAAGCAATCTTCTATATCTAAAGGGAGAATTAGGGGGACGGTGCCAAGGTGGGGTCCGCCACCGCCACATACATAACATGCTGTTTTATTATGTTTGTTGGCATTATACCTCATCCATTCTAACCACAAATTAATGTCATTGAATCCAGTTTCAGCGGCCATGGTATCTTCAAAGTGGGATTAGCGATGGCCATCATATCTTTAAAGGACTGGATATGTGGTTTTAGCGGATTTGACCATATGATCAGCCCCTTGCCACTCTGGAGAGTGGTACATATCTCTGAGGTAGAAATGACCTAATTTGTTGTAGGAACCTTTCGTCCAATACATTCCCATTACATATCGGTCTGCATCCTCGGGGCCAGGATGTTCAATATTTAACATTAATTTCATAGGGGTACTTCCTCCAGGCTTTCTTAAAGTCATTCTTTGAAGGAGGGATCTACCCTGATTGTCTATCTTAGATAAAGCACTTTTGGGTTTATAACCCCAGGCAGGCCCAGTATTCCATCCCGCAGCCCCCCAGTAGTTACAGTCATAACCCCATTGTTCATCTACTACACAAACGTAAGGGTCTTTTGCTTGTGGTATATCTTTATAAATGGCTTGAATCTGTGACTTAGGGAATGGGCACTCTACAATATCACAGTAATCAAAAGTGAATGTAGCCACATGGGTACATGATGAATTATACCAGAAAGTGTACCCACTAGCATCTTTGGTGATGGCCACCTGCTGGGCTTTAAGGAGGCCAACTAAGGAGATAATGTACCAGAGGCACATGGTTGCATAGAGTTAGCTTCCTCTGGGGCAGGTGTCTTCTTGCAATGGGAAGCGTGGATCCAGTTAGGCCTTCCGGCCAATTTGACAGAGGTAGGGGAGATCAGGAGAACTTGGAACGGACATTTACTGTTTTCGCACAAATTTCTTGACCAGAACCCAGTCATCGGGGAGCAGACTGTGGTTGCCTGTGTCAGAATCAGGATCTGGAATTGAAGAGAAAACTTGGGCATGGATTTTGTTTAAAGCATTTGCGAGTTCAGTTACATAATCTACTAAGACATCAGTTTGAAGTTGTAGTTGTTGGGGAAAATAGCAACCTAGCCTAGGTGCAGTCCCAAATAGAATCTCATATGGGGACAATGAGGTAGTATTTTTGTACAAGAGCATTCATTAGATCCTTTGATAAATGTGCAGGTCCGTGTGCCCATTGTACGACTGCTGGGTACAAATTCTTAGGGAGGCAGAACTTGAGGTTGTTGGAGTACACTCCATCCTTCAGAACTGCCCCTTTCTGTTTCCACTTCTGTATTTCTTCAGGGGCAACTGTAGCCTGTTGTTCCCGCAGGATTTTTAGGTCAGTTGGAAGAGTCTGCAGAGTAAATATGGGAGTTTCTTCATTTCCGGACACTCTTCTTTCCACTTCCTGTGGTTCTTTTGCAGCTTGTTTTGCAGCCTGATCAGCTAGATGGTTGCCCCTTGCTTCATCTGAGTCCAACTTCCCATGTGCTTTTATCTTCAAAATAGCCACTTCTTCTGGGAGTAGGAGGGCGTCCATCAGCTCCTTGATTGCGGAACCGTGCTTGATTGGTGTACCGGCGGTGGTAAGAAATCCTCTTGTTTTCCAAATTAATCTGAAGTCGTGAGCCACGCCCAGTGCATATCTTGAATCCGTGTAGATATTGGCGCGCTTTCCTTCAGAGATCTTGCATGCTGAAGTCAGGGCTTGCAATTCAGCTTCTTGTGCAGACATAGTTGATGGTAAAGATGATGATTTGACAATTTCATCTGTTGTGGTTACGGCATATCCTGTATGGTATCTTCCTTCTTCATCAGCATATCTTGAGCCGTCCACAAACAGGGTGAGATCGGGATCTACCAATGGGTCTTCATGTACAGTTGGTAGATGTGTTGTTTCCATTTTCATCTGTTCAAAACAGTCATGAGGTGTATTTGGGTCGTAGTCATTTACTATGGTTAAATCTTGGAACTCATTTTCCAGGAAATGATGTGGCCATGCTTTTAGGTGGTCAGTTGTTGGATATTTGACAACACCATTTTCCTGTAGCTGTGATTCGTCCATAGTGGCCCATACTTTTGCCATAGGCCCAAGATCATTCCATGATATTGTTTTCAACTTTGTCACAGGGACATGTGGAATGGCAGTGTCCCAATGACGGTACAAATGCTTGAGTTCCGGAGGTAGATGAATCAAGACCATACTGTTGCCTTCAGAATCACAGTAGAAGTCTTGTGCAGTGAGTTTTACTTCGACCAGATGATAGAGTTCATCTTCATAGCAGGGTTCAGGAGTGATGTTTGGTTTGTACCACATGGTACAGAAGGCATATCCTGCTCCGTCATGAAGGAGTGCTTGTCCATCATGAAAGGATAGGTTGGGATGCATTTCCTTCTTGATGGTGCCAGTGAGAAGAAAAACATAAGTTTTGTCCATGATGAATCCGTAGTATACACCCCCCTCAGGGAGTGGCAGAAGAGTGGACGGATTGAGAACTTGACATCTTTGAAGGGTAATGTTGTCAGGCAACAAAAGGTGACATTGAAGGCGAAGATGCCTAGCAGGAGTAACATGCTTAAGTTGGACCTGGTTGACTATGGCAGAAATATCATGAGGGGCCAAGACAACCAGGGGGTGGCCAAGGACAAGATCCCCAGTTCTTTCAATGAGCTCTCTGGCAGCAAAGACGGCCCGAAGGCAAGAGGGACGTCCTCTGGCCACAATATCCAGTTGGCAGGAGAAAAATCCAATAGGCCTTTGGCGGCCTCCAGGACCATGGGCCTGAGTGAGCACTCCTGTTGCATGGCCTTGTCTTTCAGAAACAAACAATTTGAAGGGTTTGGTATAGTCTGGTAGGCCAAGAGCAGGAGCAGAAGCAATAGCACGTTTGAGAGAACAGAAGTTATCAAGGGCTTCTGTGAACAAGCAAAATGGGTCTGACTTGAGAGCATCCTAAAGAGGTTGCATAAGGAGTGAGGCTTCTGGGATCCATGCTCGGCAATAGGAAATGAGGCCTAGGAAGGCGTGTAGTGACTTTGAGGTCCTTGGAGGTGGAATGTCCAGTACTGCTCTAACTCGGTCACGAGTGAGATGTCTGGTTCCCTGAGACAGACAATGGCCAAGGAAGATAACAGTAGGTTGGCAGAATTGCAGCTTGAGACGTGAAGCTTCACATCCTTGTTCTGCTAGATAGTAAAGAAGATTAATTGAGCATTGTTCTGTTGTGGGTAGATCATCTCCACAGTAAAATGGGAAGGGAACAAAGAACTGTAGTGTCTTTTCGTGACAAAGGTGTATTTAATTGAACCTGGCCGTCTGCAGTGAGGGTGATGGATGCTTGGAGGCAGGATAGAACATCAGCACCAACACAAGAGACATCGGTGTCAGGCAGGAACGATGAGTCAGGCAGGTCTTGTTCTCTAGGAACACTGCGGGATGCACCTGTGTTAACCAGGAAAGTAGTAGGGTGTCCTTCAATAGGTAAAGTTACAGTGGCTAGTGGCCCCCCTTGTTCCCTGTAGACACTGCCATGGCAGGGGCATTAAGCATCAGCGGGTTTGCTCTCCTCTGTATGGGCTGTGTTACTGACTCAAACCCCTTTCTATGTCATTAGCCATAGCTTTTTGCAGTCTGAACATGTCTATCATTATAAATAATGGTTAATAGTAAGTGAAGTAAAGTTCCTATATGTCTTTGGATAAAACATTAACTATTGCGGTACTATCATTTATATCAATTAGACTACAACAATTATACCACCCTGTAACTAAAATAAACAACCAGTAGTGGCTGGGTTAATAAAACATGTCACAAACCCTTCTAATGCTAAACCATCATTTAACGTAAAGGATGTTACTGTAAACATACGATCTGTAACTAGCAAGATTCGATTAAGTAAAGATACAATGTTTAAAATAACTTGCATTATTTGGCTATTTCCCTTGTTGCAAGATTAATCTGGATAATCAGCTGTTATGCTCTTATATTCGTGTCCAACAGATCTCATTTGTAGGTCACACCACAGTTGCAAATTACATTTTAGCAACCTTCTTTTTTTTATATCACGGACACATTGTTGATACAGGGAAACAAATGGCATGATTGTTTTAGTAATTATAATGTTTCTGTTCATAATATGTAGAGTGTAAGGAAAACAACATGTCTCTAAATAGGACGAGCATGATAGGGGTAGGCCTCATGATGGAGGCAGCCATGACAGGGGCGGGGAAGGAAATGACAGCAAGGGAGGAAGTGAGATGACGTCCATGATAGGTGTGGGAAAGGAAGACAGGAGGTGTGGGCATGGTAAGGGCGGAAGTGACGTTACTTTAGAAGCAACCGTGACTGTAGATAGGTCACGGGACTGGCAGGGTCAACCTCCTTCTGTACTAGGCGCCATCTTTAGGGTGGTGGCTGATGCACTTTCAACAATACACTATATTAAAACTATTAAAATAAGTCAGAGAAGCAACATTCTGTTCTGCAAAATGAAATATTAAACTATGAACAGACCTGGCAGGTTAAATAAGACAGTTGAGAACATTATGCATTTAACAGCCCATACAGCTGTTTCTAGAAACATGTACTTTAAAATAATAAAATGATGCAAAATAAACTCGCGGAATTCAACCAAATTCCCTTATCTTCCTCAAACCATTAATCACTTTCCTCCTCTTATACTGACTTAACAACATCGCATATTCCCTCTACACCTTCCTAAATCCCGTATTCAACACTGAATGCAATCTTGTGAGCTCGTCACTCCCACAATCCACAATTTATATATATATATATATATATATATATATAAACGGCAAACGGCAACAATAATAATATTATTACACAATTATAACACCATAACCTTTGAATTTGAATATTTTCCAGCAAAAATCCTGTCTCTAACTCTTATCAGTAGAAATGCAGGCAAGCGGGGAGGAGAGGGGGGGAGAAAGTTAGACAGTGCAAAAAAGGGAGTGAAGCTGCAGGCATGAAGATTAACCATGTGAGTGCTGGAAAGTAACAAGACAGAAGGACAGAGACTTATACGTTTGGAAACCAGAAATCTTTGACGGGAGAAACGGACTGGAGGTGCAGGGAGCTGCAGAGAGAGGATGAGGGTGACGAGATCTGTAGGACTGATGGGGGGGGAAATAGGGATCCATCAGCATCCAGTAACACAATTATTATAATACACAAACAATCTTAAACCTTTGTGATCAATTTCTTCCTCAACCTATCCCTTTTGCTGAATAGCTCTTGCTACTCGGTACCAGGCTTCTGCTGTACAAACCAAATCGTGGTCCGACAGCTTCCCTTTCTTCTGTCAGTAACTTACGCCAGCTCTCTGGCTACAATCTGCCGCACAGAGGTACGGTAATTCCACATACTTTAGCAATCTTACTCACTTTCTTAACCATCTCTTCTCCTTCTCTGTCTTCCACTAGATCACATGCTAACCAACCCTTACTGGGTTTATCTAACTTCTGTCCCATCCTCCCTATATAAGGCGTCCCAGATATAGAGAGAGAAAGGAACAGAACGTCTACCGTGCTCGACTGCTACTTTAAGAGCAAGCTCTTTAAGTACGTCTTCCCAAAACGTAGACTAGTCACTGATTCCGCCTACCCGTGGTAGCCGCGGATTGGAGCGTGGCGAGAAGTGTGTGACCAATCACTTCTCTCAACAGAGAAAGAGAAATAGGAGGGGAAAGTGTAAATAGTACAGTGAGTAAGATAGAAGTAAACACAGGAATCTGTGTGACAGACAATTAAGACAATAACATTTCAGTGTAAATACAGTGCATGCATCACAGTTCAAATAAGTTCAACAGTTTTATCCCTTGCCTTTACTCGTGTGGCCAAAAGCCACCTCCCTCAACCTCGTAGTGTCCCTGTTGCGGACCCACCCGCAAGTCTCACTACCAGCAGCCACAGGAAACAGCAACAGCTTCCAACCCGAATCCTGTATAGCCTAAAGAATTGGAATCTTACCTGCCTCAGCGCTCGAGGCTGGAATTTTACCAAGAAGAAGTGGCACTATGGGGAACCCACAGATTCCCCCTACTCTTTTTCCTTACAGCCACAGCCACGTGGCTCCTAAAAGAGTTAAACAGGCAATAGAGGACCCCCAGGAAAACTTCCACAGGTCCACCCCCCTTTTTCCTTACTACCACAGCCACGTGGTACCTAAAAGGAGTTAAACAGGCACTTACACTCCCCGGGTACTAAGTTAAACACAAACCAATACAAACACACCCAGGCAACAGATAGTCAACATGCAGGTAAATTAAGTATCATTAACAATACAAAGACTCTGGGCAAGTTATTACCTGACTTTGATGTCCTCTCGGCAGCAGTCACAGACACTGGGATAGGTCAATCACAGGGGCAGGAGCATACCGGCTAGGTGCTGCAGCAATCTCTACCGTGGACTCAGAGGTGATCAGGCTCTTTTCCTTCCCCCAGGATTCAGCCCCCCCAGCGTCTTCTTGGACAGCTGCCCAGGCAGGACATAGCCCAGAGCCCCACGTTGGAAGCGCCAATTTGTAGTAGATAATTTACTGCAAACCAATTAGTTTGAATGACTATCTGTTCCTGTCCAAATTAAAGATAATAAAGTTGCATGCACGCAGAAGTAAATTCACACTGAGACACAGAGTTAATGAAAAAAACTTCGGAGAAGTTTAATGGCTTCTGACAGAAAATGGGTGCGCAGACCCTTTTAAAGGCATTATTACATCACTGAAGAATTCAAGATAACAGCAAATAGACACTATTGATTGGTCCAGGTGTTAAGTGGTTAGTTAGGTACCCTCCTATCAAGAGGTGATGTCATCCTTGACACGGGAGTGGACACAAGATGTAGGCGCCATCTTGTTAGCACGAGGTGTTCACTCGATGGGAGGGGTGCTTTGGCAGCCATCCATTTAGAGTGTAGCTGGCACGGTTAGGTTTCAAGGCTTTTAGTAAATACACATTTTATCAAAGCTATTTCTTGCTGGCATGCAAATTCTATGTTCTATAGACAGAGCTTTCTTGTAAAACTATGGGGGCCTCTTAGAGGTATAGCAAGAGGATTTAAAGGGGCCTTACAGATTTATAGAGGCCTAATAATTCTACAACAAAGTGATAAAACATAAATGGAACTTTTCAGCCCAATGGGTAAGTGGTTTGTCTGGACGAAGAAGAATGAACCATACTCTAAAAAGAACACTTTGTCTTCAGTTAAGCATAGTGGTAACTCATGATACTCTGGGCC